CGTCCCCCCCCCCCCCCCACACACACACCGGCGCCCTCAGGCAGCTGCTTGACCTGCCTGTAGGGTAGCACTGGCTCTGATGCTGGGACTTTAGAACTACTTTAATTTTATTTCAACAAACTAAAGAGAAACAAGACTTGCAAATATCACTCATACTTGTCTATAACTAACCTTCCATTGCACTCATTCTCATAGGAATTATTTTATCCACTTCTACAGTCCTCAACAGCAGTGTAACCAGAACACAATGATTGTGTTCCTCTTGTTATTGGTATGAGTTCTTCTGCTTTTGGCTTAGTTGCCTTGGCTCAGATTTCCCATGTTGCACCTCACTTCCCGTTCATGAGCTGTCATTGCTTGGCTGCAGAAGCTGGGCAATAAGCCATTGGAGAGCGATCAGTGCTCCAATAGCTTATTTGGAGTCGAAAGGTGACATTAGGGGTCTAATTGGCCCCTAATGTCACCTTAAAGAGTACCTGTCACTAGGGATGCACCTAAACAGTTTTGTCTGTATCAAGCATTTTTGTCCCGGTACGCGTCGAAACGGAATACCGATACTGGAAGCCCCATTAAGGAAGCCGGCCAGCGTGTAATGACTTGCCACCAGGGTTCCCAATAAGCCGGGACCAGGTGACGAGGAAGCATGGAGCCGGCTTTCTGGCCAGGAGCAGGTAATGACTCACCACCTGGCTTCCTGATTGGCCAGCTTCCCGACCAATCAGGAAGTCGGGTGGCAAGTCATTACACGCTGCCCGGCTTCCTGATTGGCCCGGGAAGCCGACTCCATATTCCCTCATCACCAAGTACGCATACTTACCCAAATACTCGGTATCGGCACCAATACCGATACTAGTAGCGGTGCATCCCTACCTGTCACCACTAGTATGCTATCACATAGGGAGCTTGCAATCCCTCTTTCGTGATAGCAATTAAGTAAAAAGAAAACAAAATGTGTAAACATGTTACATTTTTTTTTTTAAAGTCCCCCACCCCGCGAGCATGCACATATTAACGTAAACGCACAATAAACAACGATTATGATGTTAGGTATCGCCATGCACGACAGAGTGTGAGCAATAATTCTAGGGTCAGTATTTATAGATATGTCTAAACGGACAACCTGTACAGTCTTTTAAAGCGTCGCCTATGGACAATTTGGGGTATTTTGTTGATGTTTCATGGACGCATACAATTTTTAACCTGGGCATGTTGTGTATGTATTTACTCATGACCTCATATTTTATTTTTTTTAAATGGGTATTATATTGTGTTTTTTGGCACTGACCTGAAAATGAACTTAAAAGCATTTTCTACTAAATTTGTGGGTTTGATAAAGAGTTGAGCTAATATATTTTATTCTTGGCAGTGAAAGGGTTACACAAGCGATCAGTGAAGAAATCCCCCTTAAATCCACCATTGCTCAAGGAACCGCCAGCAATTTGTAGGGTAACCCTAAGACCCCATAGTGCCCTGGCTGAGAAAAGCTGTCATGTAGACTAGAGGACATGAGCTAGAATTAGACGACCTGTGAGTCACTGGTCATGTGACCGAGGACCCGGAAGCAGTGTGGAGCACAGGCAGTGAAGACTGTAGTGTCTGTGTAACAATAGGATTTAATTGTTGTGGAAGATCAGTCAGAAGTCATTCATGTCAGAAACGGACTGGAGACATAAGGACTGACATCTGTGGAGGAGGTAAGGACACAAGGACACTGACTGCAGTGTTATGTCCGAGCTGCTGTAAGCTGTGTCTGTATACAGGGACACTGCACACATGTGTTGTTAAAGGAGACAGGCTTCATCACTGTGGTAAACAGAGAGTGTGTTTGTATTTTGGGGCAAAATCATTTGGAATGATGTTCATTTTTACCACTAGTTTTGAAAATCATGGGTACACTGTTCCATTGTCCCCCTAGACTGCAAGCTCCTGGGGACAGGGTCTTGTATGTCCTAGACTGTAAGCTCCTGGGGACAGGGATCTATTATAACAGTAAACTGTAAAACTCCTGGGGACAGGGTCCTGTTATATCATAGACTGTAACCCTCCTGGGGACAGGGCCGTGTTATATCATAGACTGTAACCCTCCTGGGGACAGGGCCGTGTTATATCATAGACTGTAACCCTCCTGGGGACAGGGCCGTGTTATATCATAGACTGTAACCCTCCTGGGGACAGGGCCGTGTTATATCATAGACTGTAACCCTCCTGGGGACAGGGCCGTGTTATATCATAGACTGTAACCCTCCTGGGGACAGGGCCGTGTTATATCATAGACTGTAACCCTCCTGGGGACAGGGCCGTGTTATATCATAGACTGTAACCCTCCTGGGGACAGGGCCGTGTTATATCATAGACTGTAACCCTCCTGGGGACAGGGCCGTGTTATATCATAGACTGTAACCCTCCTGGGGACAGGGCCGTGTTATATCATAGACTGTAACCCTCCTGGGGACAGGGCCGTGTTATATCATAGACTGTAACCCTCCTGGGGACAGGGCCGTGTTATATCATAGACTGTAACCCTCCTGGGGACAGGGCCGTGTTATATCATAGACTGTAACCCTCCTGGGGACAGGGCCGTGTTATATCATAGACTGTAACCCTCCTGGGGACAGGGCCGTGTTATATCATAGACTGTAACCCTCCTGGGGACAGGGCCGTGTTATATCATAGACTGTAACCCTCCTGGGGACAGGGTCCTGTTATATCATAGACTGTAAAACTCCTGGGGACAGGGCCGTGTTATATCATAGACTGTAAAACTCCTGGGGACAGGGTCCTGTTATATCCTAGACTGTAATAAAACTCCTGGGGACAGGGTCTTGTTATATCATAGACTGTAACACTCCTGGGGACAGGGTCTTGTTATATCATAGACTGTAAAACTCCTGGGGACAGGGTCTTGTTATATCATAGACTGTAAAACTCCTGGGGACAGGGTCTTGTTATATCATAGACTGTAAAACTCCTGGGGACAGGGTCTTGTTATATCATAGACTGTAAAACTCCTGGGGACAGGGTCCTGTTATATCATAGACTGTAAAACTCCTGGGGACAGGGTCTTGTTATATCATAGACTGTAAAACTCCTGGGGACAGGGTCCTGTTATATCCTAGACTGTAACACTCCTGGGGACAGTCAAAGACTGACGAAACGCGTCAAGGGGACCCGCTGCTTCCTTCCTGACATACCGGATAAACCTTCAAAGGCTGGGCGCCGTTTACCCCCACATGCGATTTTTACTCAAACCATTTCGTAAGTTTAATCATTTATATTTGGAATAAAGGACTTTCGTGACTACACTTAGATCTGCTTTCTCTCTTGTGTCCTTTTTTCCTGTCTTCCTCGCTCGGCTGAGCTGCTCCTGGAGGGTGTTTGACACCGGCATCAGAACCGTGTGCTGACCGTTTGGAGGAGAGAGAGAAATATAAAGAATTTTTGAGGACTTATGGATTGAAGATAAAGTAATAGATACTTTTTTCTTTGTTATTTTTTGGGGTCCCTTTCTTTTGGTTTTCATTCATTTTTTCCTCTGAGTGAAAGAGTTAAATGCCTTGGTGATTGTAAGGATCTTTTGCGTAACCCTAATCCACGTTTTATATGGAGACATTGCTTTCCTTTTTGCTTTTTTCGTTTTTTCGTTTTGGGGCGATGATAAATGGTTTTATGTGAGCTATTTTTTGTATAGCTGTGTAATTATAATCAACCAATCAAATGATGAGATCAACCTTTTGAATTTGAATCTGAATGTATATGTAATCCCTACAGACGTGGGATTGAGCGTTTAACCACAGAATACTGTTTTTTATTATCACATTTTTATTATCACATTTTTTACCAACGAAATATTGAACAGAACAAAGACACAGTTGACTAATTATAATTATTTATTTATTATACATATTTTACACCAATTTATGAATCTTTATTCATTTATCCATCTATTTTATTTTCCACTTGAATATAAATAGCAAGATGACACAGTAAGAACATTGCTCACTACCAAGCGCAACATAATTGCTCACATTGATCCTGGGGACAGGGTCTTGTTATAGCCTACCTAGACGGTAGGCACCTGGGGACAGGGTCCTGTTATATCCTAGACTGTAGGCTCCTGGGGACAGGGTCCTCTTATATCCTAGACTGTAAAACTTCTGGGGACAGGGTCCTGTTATATCCTAGACCAGGGGTGCCCACAATTTTTTGTGTTAAGATCTACTTTTCAAATGACGAGCTACATGAGATCTACCAATGAAAAAAAAACCTCCCTCGCTCTCTCTCTCCTGGCTGTCTCTCCTGGCTGTCTCTCCTCTATCCCGCCCGTCTCTCCTCTCTCTCCGGGCTGTCTCTCCTCTCTCTCCCGGCTGTCTTATCTTGCTCTCTCTCTCTCTCCTGGCTGTCATTCCTCATTTTTTCTCCTGGCTGTCTCTCTTCGCTCTCTTGGCTATCTCTCATTGCTCTCTCCCCTGGCTGTCTCTCCTCTCTCTCTCTCTCTCTCTCTCTCTCTCTCCTGGCTGTCCTTCCTCATATTTTCTTTCCTGACTGTCTCTCTTCGCTCTCTTGGCTGTCTCTCATTGCTCTCTCCCCTGGCTGTCTCTCCTCTCTTTCTTTCCTGGCTGTCTCTCCTTGCTCTCCCCCCTGTCTCTCTCCTCTTCTCTCCTCTCCTCTCCTGGGTCACCTTGATGTATTTTGCAAACAGTGTAGTGTAGTGCAACAGGTTGTGTAAAGTAATATTCTTTGATGTAATACATAGCACTTCAACCACCAGTATCCAGCAGAAAGGTGTCAGGGAGCTTGGCTCAGCAGACTCAGGCTAATAGGTAATCATGTGTGCACAGCTAAATAAATATACCAAAATGGAATAAAGGGGCCGCCATTCACACCCTTCGTGATCTACCAGCATCAGCTGTGAGAGCTACTGGTAGATCACGATCTACCTAATGGCACCCCTGTCCTAGACTGTAACACTCATGGAGACAGGGTATTGTTATATCATAGACTGTAAAACTCCTGGGGACAGGGTCTTATTATATCCCACCTAGACTGTAGGCTCCTGGGGACAGGGTCTTGTTATATCCTAGACTGCAAGCTCCTGGGGGCGGGACTTGTTATATCTTAGACTGCAAGCTCCTGGGGACGGGGACTTGTTATATCCTAGACTGCAAGCTCCTGGGGACAGGGTTCCGTTATATCAGTAAACTGTAAGCTTCTGGGGACAGGGTTCCATTATATCAGTAGACCGTAAGCTCTTAATGTCAGGGCCCTCTTATATCCTAGACTGCAAGCTCCTGGGGACAGGGATCCATTATACCGGTAGACTGTAAAGCTCCTGGGGACAGGGTCTTGTTATATCCTAGACTGCAAGCTCCTGGGGACAGGGTTCCATTATATCTTTAGACTGTAAGCTCCTGGGGAAAGGGTTCAATTATATCAGTAGAATGTAGGCTCCTGGGACAGGGTTCTATTATATCCTAGACTGCAAACTCCTAGGGACAGGGATCCATAATACCAATAGACTGTAAAGCTCCTTGGGACAGGGTTCCATTATACCAGTAGACTGTAAGCTTCTGGGCACAGGATTCCATTATACCAGTAGACTGTAAGCTCCTGAGGACAGGATTCCATTATACCAGTAGACTATAAGCTCCTGGGGACATGGTCCCATTATATTCTAGACTGCAAACTCCTCGGGAGAGGATTCCATTATACCACTAGACCAGGGGCGCCCACAATTTTTTCATCTGGAGATCTACTTTTCAAATGATGAGCTCAATGAGATCTACCAACAAAAAAAAACCTGCATTCAGGGGCGGGAGGGGGCGTGGCGGTTCATTGAAGTCAATGGCACCGCAGGCAGGCCCCTCACCCACAGTGCGATCGCCTGCACCCGGAACCCAGGCACATTTGTGCCTGCATTCCAGTCCAGTGCGATCCGGAAAAATGATGTAATTTTTTTGCAGATTGCTATTTTTGCAGATCGCACTGGATCTGCAAAATAAAAGATGGTCACATCGGGTAAATAGATACCAAACATGTCAAGCCTTAAAAAAGTGTATGCGCCCGTGAAATTGCAAAAAACTACAATACCCCAAATTTTTCATAGGCTACGCTTTAACTACTAATCAGTTTAGTGTTAGCAGTGAATTGATGGCCTTAGAATTATTGCTCTCACTCTGACATTCGTGGCAATATGTAACATTTGTGGTGCAATTTTCGTTTGTGCTTGTAGGCGCACCCAACGCGTGTTTGCATTGTGTATGTAGGGGCGGGGACTTTAAAAACATTTTCTTGGCATTTTTTTAAAACTTTTTTTCCCCCTACCCCTTATTACTATCACATAGGGGGATAACAAGCCCCCTATATAATAGCAAATATGATCTAACAGGTCCTCTTTATGGAGACATCAGGGGTCTTTCAGACTAATGTTCTTCTCCTAGCTCTAAGAGTGGAGAATGTACACAGTGATACACATCAGTAATACACATCACTTCCGGGTCCAGTGATAGGAGGAGAGATCCGCGGTGGTAATGGTCACCACTAAAGCCCGGGCCCAGGAATGGAGATTTCATCCCTCCCAATGCTCTTTGAAATCTCCCAGTTCCACGAACCCAAGCCAAATCCGGAAAACCTGGGAAGAACTACAAAGCCAGCTCTTTCCCAGTAAATGTTTGCACTTTCTGGAACTGCTCAGTCCCCCTGGCTGAGAGACCTGGGTGACCCTTTTCCCACTCTACATAGTGGCATTGCCACACACTGCCACACTAATGTGTATATTATATTAGTGTATATTATGCCACATAATATACACTGTAAGTATTTACTATATTATGTAGCCATTCTCATCTTTTAAACATGAGGTGAAAACTGGGTCACTATTTTTGTTGGCAGTTAGAGTGATGAAGGGTTGGCCAAAACCTGTATTTCTTCTAATGCTGCTTTTCCTTATGCTGCTTTATTGTTATTTGATTGCTGGCATTGTATAGCTGACCACCCATCCCAGCTATAGAGTACAGAGCTCACCTGACCACACATCCCAGTTTAAGGTACAGAACTCACTTGACTTCTCTTCCCGGCTATGGGGTATAGAGCTCACCTGACCTCTCCCCCTGCGGTCCTCCCGCTGCTGCCACAGCTCTCCCCTCTTACTGTCACTGTTTACACGGAGCAGAGCGGACGTTCTCTGCTCTGAAGAGAGGCTCTCCGGCCGGCGGGGAGAGCGGTAGCCGCCGTTCAGTGTGGGTGGTGAACGAGCAGACGGACGAGCAGGCTGCATACAAGATCACTTGTATGCAGCTACGAGAACGGCTTGTGGAAAAACCGGCCATGCAGGCGCCCCCTGCAGACCAGCGCCCGGGGGCAAGTGCCCACACCCCCATGCTACGCCACTGGAGGCAGGAGGTCCGGGAGGCTCCCACGCTGAACCACGACCAACCAATACAACAGATAATAGGCGCGGGCACCCGCCCTTTGACGACAGAGAGGATGTTCCTCAAGTGAACAAACAATGAAGAACATAAAAGACAGAGGAAGAAGAACAGGAATGAAATGAGAGAACATAGTAGTAAAAGGAAAGGGCATGGGGTAACCAAGGGATAAGCAAGAAACAAAGGATCAGGATAAAGAAGCAGTAGGCCTCACCAATGGGATGGGACCCACCTCCATATTTGGGTGAAATTCCTTATTTTATACCCATGTGGCAGAAGCATCTGAATCTTTCCTCTCTCAAGCTCATCTTTGAAGATGTGTTTTGGTACCAGGGACGAGGACCTCTAAATGTGACATTTTACTGGTGGCAGTATGTTTGCAGACCACAAAAGCCTTGTCCAGTTTCCTCCTGCGCCGTGTTTCCACATTACCTGCAGACTGAGTGAAAAGACCTCGGAAATTCGAACAAGAGAAAAGCTTTCCATGTGGGCTTATAATTACTTAGCCAAGGTTGTTATTTAATCAATTCCTGATTACACTGAAGCTCATTGTGGCTGGAAATTAAACATCTTTCAGTGTATATAATTTGAATATCTCTCTCCTCTAGACTAAGTGACCTATTATTAGATTTTAATGAGTTTCTGTGGTATAAATATTGGTTTTCTATTTCATTTTTCTTTTCACCCTTTCCTCTTGCTAGGTTATGTGATTCCACTATACTATACAGTGTAAGTCCCTGTCAGTATTTCTACTGCATGCCTGGTTTCATTTACATAATGAACATAAATCTTCATTTGTTTTCTGCTTCATAACAAAATTCTTTGTTGTGTAAATGTTTCCTTTATTGTTGACTTCACATCCATTTCTGACCTCAGGAAATGCTGATTGTCTGTCTTTTGGTTTAATACATCCTGAGTCACTGAGCTGGAACAAATATGCTGATCAGAAGTTCTGACTACATATTTCACTTGGTATAGGTTTCTTTAAAGGAGAACTATGGGGTTAGGGCTTTTCCCCATAGTTCTCCTTAGGGTAACGGGAGGACACAAACTAGCGTCCTCCCGTCACCCCAAGCTCGGTATACGCTCGCGGTATACTGAGACGCGTCAGCTGAAGCGGATTCCCGACAATTATGTCTGGATCCGCCCTGCTGCGTGAGTGACAGCTGGCTCTGCCTACCTAGAGGCAGAGCCAGCTGTACCCGCCCCCTCCCCCGTCCATTCCGCCAGTCAGCGCTGGAGGATCTGAGCGGGGAGGGGGGAATCCAGTCCCTCCCCTGTCACGGCTCTCTGCAGTGACAGGATCGAGAAGTGAGCGAACTACGGTATGTGTTCGCTCACTTCCCGATCTACTGTGCCGACCTGTGACAGTTCCAATGTCACAGGTCGGCTAGAATTATGAGGGTGAGTGAAAAGCACTCACCTCATAGTTCTCCTTTTAACAAAAACATTTTTTTTTGATAGATGCAGAATGGTTAGACTCTCCGTAACATTTTATATTTCTGTCTACATCATTTACTGGGGAGATTTACCCCTGTATTAATCCTGGTGACTACTGTCACCAAAACAGAAAGTGAAGGGAAGTCCAAAACTTTTGATTTGTCTACAAAACAAGAGGTGAGGGTAAATCTTCCAATGGGGACACCTAGTCAGGTAACAGCTGTGTAAGGGGATTCACCTCACTTTAGGGAGATTTCTCTCACTTGCTGCTGCATCTCAGGAAGTAAAGGTAAATGTCCCCAATGGGGACACTCAAAGCAAAAAAAAAAAATTTGCCTATCAGCTTTTTAACCAGTTGACATCCGCGGTGTTAAACCCCCTTGTTAAGGAAGTCCGGGCACACATTTTATTAACCTTTGTAGTGGGGCCATACCAGCACTGCAAGGGTTAACTGTTTTTTTTCTTCTTTTTTTAAACATTTTTGGTTAAAAAAAAAGTTATACTCACACGATCCTCTGAGCCGGACGACTGTCACAGCGCTCCTGTCTTCTCCTCCCCTGCAGTGAGGCATGTCCCTCGGCATCCACACATCCTATACACTGTATAGAACCTGATGACTCGGGGTCCTTAGACCACTGCTGCAGAGGGTCAGCAAGGCTGGAAGGATCGGTCTAAGAGCAAGCTGGCTCCGAGGATCCATATTAAGACACATATAAAGGCCATATCAAATAGTCAATACACAGTAGATATGGGATGAGCAACCATATACATATACATACATATCTACTGTGTATTGACTATTTAATATAGTTACATAGTTACATAGTATTTGAGGTTGAATAAAAAATATGGCCTTTATATTTGTCTGAATATGTTTTTAACTTGTTATAAGAAATAAAGTACGGTAGGTTTTATATTTATACTTCACACATGTAGCTGTATGTATTTTGTGGCACCTTGAAAAAACCCCAGGCTCAATTGCAGCCAATCCTTGCTTGTTTTTAAAAGTCAATTCAGTAATCGACTTTTGTGGAATCGGCAGGGCCACATACTGTTCCATGCGTCTAAAGCACTGCAACTGATGTTAGAACAAACATACTGTACATACATAAACACCTTAGTGGTATGCAATGCGTATTAGGTATCTCCACACATGGTAGAGAAAGAAGGACCATCATTTTAGGTTTGGACACAGACATAAGATCATTTTTGCCTAATCCAACCGGTGAAATCAAGTTGTAATCGCATATCTGATGCATTTCCCCAACCTTCCCTGATATCCCCTGACTGACACTTCTGGAAGGAAATACTTGATTGGTCTAGTGCAGTGGTGGCGAACCTTGGCACTCCAGCTGTTTTGGAACTACAAGTCCCATGAGGCATTGCAAGGCTCTGACAGTAACAGACATAACTCCCAGAGGCAGATGCATGTTGGGATTTGTAGTTTTGGCACAGCTGGAGTGCCAAGGTTCGCCACCACTGGTCTAGTGGAACTTTCTGACTGGGAGAGGATGGTATTTTATTGGTGAATGTCCTCTTTGAACTATTGCTGCAAAGGTGCAAGCACCTTGGCAGTTTTGTAGTTTGTGCAAACCCTGAGCCCTTGTGCTGGACAGTTTGGATTATGTTAAAGAAGAACTCACGGGTAATTTTTTTATTAACCTTTGCAGTGGGTCTACCTCCACACTACAAGGGTAAGTGCTTGTTTTGGTCTAGGGAGGAAAATAAAGTTCTACTCACCCAATCCTTGGAGGTGCTTGGTTGTTAGACTGGTCCCTGGAGACTCTCTCTCCCTCCACTGCAGTGGTCTAAGGTCCTGTGAGCCATCGCATTATACACAGTTTAACGTGAGGACATTCCATCACTGCAGCAGAGAAGGAGACAGGCTGGAGGGAGTGCTGTCACAGCCAGCCATCTCCGAGGATCGGGTGAGTATAGCTTTTTTTTTTCCCCCTCCCTAGACAAAAACAATCAGTTAACCCTTGCAGTGCGGGGGTAACCCCACTGCAAGGGTTAATTAAACATTTCCCCGGAGTTCTGCTTTTATTATTTTAATGTGGAGAAACATAAATGAGGGCATATGAAACAAAATAGTCATTACCGAATAATTGCATTACATGTATTAACTGCACACAGTTATCAAAATACAATATGTTTGACGATGGCAGACTGATCGCCTGTTTGCTTGGCTGATATAAGTTTAAAAGGCATTACAGTAATGACAAATATAAAGCATTAGTCTTCTTCTGTATCGTGGAAGAATTTCACAACTCCTGTTTTTCGACACATTTCTTATTGTTCACCTTCCAGTGTTTCTCTTAGAAAAGCACCATGTTAAATTCCCCATTTAAGCTGTGAGAATGTGTTGGAAGGATCTAGATAAATGCTGCTCATTAAGACATATCCCTTTGGTGTCTTGTTGGTTTTAAAATTGCTGCTAATGGGTACAATGGAAAATTGAAACTAGAAGGTGATGTTTGCTGGAAAATATGAAAGCATTTTTTGATTATTCAGTGTACTTATTATTTACCCTTTGTTTACAGGCAACTAAAGATTCATCCATGAAATAGCTTATTATCCGTGTATTGACACTTTTTTGCGACCTCATGTGCATCATCTTCTTCAAATTTGATCCTCGCCCCGTCTCCAAGAATGCATATAGGTAACTACATTTTCAGTATGTACAGCTGTTCTGGTTAAAGCATGACACTGAACAATGGATAAAGAATACTTGTGCTGGGAGAAACTATAAGGCTGCCTTTGCTGATGTTCTGATCATGCTAGTTGCCTGGCTTTGATACTTTTATAGTCACTGACCCACAACAGGCAGGCAGAGAATTCAGAATTCTTCATCTGCATACTTGTTCCATTTCAGTGACTCAGAAAAGATGTGAAGGACCAGCATGATAACCAGGCAACTTGAATTTAAAAATGTAGTCTTTCTCAGCACTAGTTCATTTGTGTATTTGTCATTTATATAGCACTTATCTTCAAAGTAATGTAGCGTTTCTGAAGGGAGAAATTGGCAACTGCTTTCAGGGCCCATTCACACCACATCCAGATCATCTCCAGGGCAGACCAGATTGTTTCTGGACGCAAAATGCATCCTAATGTATCTCTATGCTATTCCTGGCCTCTGCTCACACCAGCGCAGTCCGTTCCAGACCAGAAAAATACTGCTTGTCCTATTTTGTCTGGTCTGGAATTCACTGGAACTGCGGGCAGGTTCACACCATTTTCTGGACCAGATTTGGTCCAGATCTGGTCCAAATGGTGTGAACCTGCCCTAAAGGCTCATTCGCATAGACATGAAGGTCCATGCACCGTAAAATAAAAAAAGTCTGGATCTCTGTGCCCAACAGCCACGGCTGTTGCATATAGCCCACAAACAACACCTGTGGCTCCTGAGCACAGAGATCCGGATGAATTTTATGATCCACCGACCTCTGTGCCTGTCTAAATGAGCCCTAAGGTTGCACCATTTTATCCTTTACCATAATGGTTAATATAAGAAAGGATGAAAGAAAAGATAATCACATTGCAACCTCCACCATATAGTAATAAGTAGCACTCACCAGATACTCTGACCCCACTTAGAGTAAGAGGTCAGAGCACATTTATGCTGTTGACCCCTGTAGTTCCTTGATCACTCACTTTGTACAGATAAGGGTGCTTGGGGTGATGCTTTGATATCACCACCTCCTCTTCCGATCAGAGAATGCCTAGAATTAATTAATAATACATTTACAATACAAGGCGTTTGGTGTATGGCTTCTGTGCTGTGTGAGGGAACAACTGTGTTTTCACAGCAGAGGTGAAGTCGCTCAGTAAAGCGGCTGTACGGGACCTCAAGATCGCTGCAATGCACTGTAGTAGCTGCTAGGGCTGCAACTAATGCTTATTTTCATAATCGATTAGTTGGCCGATTTTTATATTTTTGAATTATTGGATTAAAAAAATACCATCCTCAATTTTTTAAATTAAAATACACAAATGCAGTGTTACAAACATAAAGTTTACTTCAGAATAAAACTGCATGCATAATTTTTTGCAATGGCACTGCAGTACTGTGCATTCCAGTGCGGGCGATCACACTGTGGGTGGGAGGCGCGTTTGGGGTGCCATTGAAATGGATGGCACTGCAACCCACTTCCTTCTCCCCCTTTCTCCTTCTCCCCCTTTCTCCTTCTCCCCCTCTCTCCTTCTCCCCCTCTCTCTCCTTCTCCCCCTCTCTCCTTCTCCCCCTCTCTCATCCGTTCCAGACCAGAAAAATACTGCTTGTCCTATTTTGTCTGGTCTGGAATTCACTGGAACTGCGGGCAGGTTCACACCATTTTCTGGACCAGATTTGGTCCAGATCTGGTCCAAATGGTGTGAACCTGCCCTAAAGGCTCATTCGCATAGACATGAAGGTCCATGCACCGTAAAATAAAAAAAGTCTGGATCTCTGTGCCCAACAGCCACGGCTGTTGCATATAGCCCACAAACAACACCTGTGGCTCCTGAGCACAGAGATCCGGATGAATTTTATGATCCACCGACCTCTGTGCCTGTCTAAATGAGCCCTAAGGTTGCACCATTTTATCCTTTACCATAATGGTTAATATAAGAAAGGATGAAAGAAAAGATAATCACATTGCAACCTCCACCATATAGTAATAAGTAGCACTCACCAGATACTCTGACCCCACTTAGAGTAAGAGGTCAGAGCACATTTATGCTGTTGACCCCTGTAGTTCCTTGATCACTCACTTTGTACAGATAAGGGTGCTTGGGGTGATGCTTTGATATCACCACCTCCTCTTCCGATCAGAGAATGCCTAGAATTAATTAATAATACATTTACAATACAAGGCGTTTGGTGTATGGCTTCTGTGCTGTGTGAGGGAACAACTGTGTTTTCACAGCAGAGGTGAAGTCGCTCAGTAAAGCGGCTGTACGGGACCTCAAGATCGCTGCAATGCACTGTAGTAGCTGCTAGGGCTGCAACTAATGCTTATTTTCATAATCGATTAGTTGGCCGATTTTTATATTTTTGAATTATTGGATTAAAAAAATACCATCCTCAATTTTTTAAATTAAAATACACAAATGCAGTGTTACAAACATAAAGTTTACTTCAGAATAAAACTGCATGCATAATTTTTTGCAATGGCACTGCAGTACTGTGCATTCCAGTGCGGGCGATCACACTGTGGGTGGGAGGCGCGTTTGGGGTGCCATTGAAATGGATGGCACTGCAACCCACTTCCTTCTCCCCCTTTCTCCTTCTCCCCCTTTCTCCTTCTCCCCCTCTCTCCTTCTCCCCCTCTCTCTCCTTCTCCCCCTCTCTCCTTCTCCCCCTCTCTCCTTCTCCCCCTCTCTCCTTCTCCCCCTCTCTCCTTCTCCCCCTCTCCCTGGCTGAAGCTATTCAAGGAGAGAATGACAGCTGCCAGTGGCAAGATTCCACAGATGGCAGCTGAATGTAAATACAGCAGGTAGTGGGCTGGTGCAATAGCCAATAGTAGGCTGGCTATTGCAGCCACCCAAGGCTTGCTCTGCCCTCCTCCCATTGTGGAGTAGAGAGCTAGGGGATCCAACCAACTAATCGATAATCAGAATAGTTGACATCTATTCTCATTATTGATTTATTATTGATCGATATGATGATATCGATATAAAATGTATCGATTAGTTGGTTGCAGCCCTAAAAGCTGCAGTGTTTACTGGGTCCACGTGTCCCTGCCAGGAATTATTTATATATTCTTCTATTGTGCTAAGCTGGACTCATGTAAGTATATATAAATCTATATAGCTGAAGTTCAGCTTAGTGTATTTTCACGTATGCAGTCAGATATGAGAAAACCCCTCTATATGTTTGTGCTCTGATTCACGCAACATACCAAAAAATTATTTTAAAAAATATTGCATACCTTTTTTTTAGATGTTTTGTTGCAGCAGGCTAAATGGCTGATTCCAGATTTTTCTGATCAATTTAAACTGCAAGAAGCATTTTTTAAATACTTTTTTATGTTATGCTGTGTGTATGGGAACATGTAACAAATATAGAATAGGTGTTATCCCAGTTGGCAGTGAAAGAGGAAATGTACTTTAATAAGCAATGGATGAAGCAGCCTATCAACATCCATACAAAGTTTACATTTAATACAATTTTGGGTGGGCTGGCTCTTTAATAAACCTGAGCATTTTTCTTTTATAATAAAAGTTTGTGCTGTAAAAAAAAAATAATAATAATTTAAATAAGTTATACCCATAAGTATGTGAAATATATTTGGGCCTCATGTTTTCTATTGGCTCGCCTGAAGCTACACCAGACACTCTGAATTATTCTCTGCTGGTGTGCTAGAGAATACTAAAGACTAACAAATCATATCCTGCTGGTGGGAATGGCCTTTTGTCTACATCTCTGCATGTCCTGCCCCACTGTGTCTGTTCATGCACATAATTGCAGACAGGTGTAGGTCTCAGTTGGGTATCCTGTACAGCTTTTTAGGGCACAAGATCGATGATGGAGGTCTTTTCTAAAGCCTCTAAATTTGGACAACACATATTGATGTACATTGGGGCCAAGTTAATGATGAGCTGCTGAGTCTGTCCAAACAGATGGGCAGACAATGTGTGTACAACAGGAGCCTCAAGGGTAGCTGATTCACAGCACTCCTTCTAGGGGACATCTGTCTACCATCGTGATACTGTGTTCGCCATGAATATGTAAACAAAACTGTTTCCAAGAGATTTGGATGTCAAGAAATAGTGCGGTGCGTCTTTCACATTATTGTTCTAAATGTATGCTCCTGTAAAAAGTACTGTGAATTATTGTAAGCAAGGGCTGTGTGGCTGGCAGAGATAAGGGACTAATGGCAGATGCAAAACGTTAAAGAAGAACTCTACAAAAATGGCCAGATAAACTCATTAGCATTTTAGAAACAAATGTAAATCTTTGTAAGAATCTGGCAACACAAACGTTAAATATATAGGCATCCCCTCTTAAAAGTATCCTAAGCGCAATGGCTATACCTAAGCAAGTGACAAACCTGTACTGCTTTCTCCAACAAACCACTGCTCCCTTTGATGACATGGAGGACATTTTTTTTCTTAACAGTTGTCAGTTTACAGGATCTTCATTTACATTTTTACTGTATCTACTCTTATCTACCCCCTGCAAAATGCATAAAGCTGGAATTAACTTTGCTCTACAACATCAACGGATAAACACCTCAAACAGCTAATATGGTTACTGCTCATTTATCTCCGAAAGGTAATCATATGAAAGTGCAATGACTCAACAGCTGTGGACGTAAAAACCTTCCTCAATCTCATCCCAAACCTTTTACATTTATATTAGCTGGGCATGCCCAAATACGTTTTGAAAAAATGGATCCAACCTCAGTGTAAGTTTTGAACCAGCTTCAGTAGGTCTTTGAAGTGCTAAAAGTCTGATCATGTATTTTACCTTCCTCTCCCCTCACCACTGTCTGACCTTGCAATTAATAAGTGCTGTTTAATAGGGCTTGTCTCTCTACACAGTGAAACACCTAAAACAGGACTTACAGCAAAAGGGGTGGTAGTAATTGGAAGTGGCAGCTCGATTCTCTCTCTATGCAGTGGATTAGATACAGAGGACTCACCCATGCACATGGGCACCTGGGGCTGTACAACGTA